GAGTGTTATCCTTTGATTTTACAGGTTTTGAGTAGATGCCGAGCGCGCTAGATGTGGACCTTAGATTATATAGATCCCATGCTAGACGTTTATCTTTTGTTGGCCTGTGATCCTAGACTAGAGGCCTGTGTGCCTAGATTTTTACTGTTCAATGCTTTGTGATAGTCTTTAGCCTGTGCACCCATGGTTTATGGGTGTGGCATAACATCTCTCTGATTTTAATTAAGTTTATGCTGTTGTTTATCTTGATAATTAGATGTTTACCTTTGAAATTAAGTTTTAAAAATGTTGAAAAATCGGGGGTGTTACACAAATTGCCTTTCCGCATCTACCCACCCTATTCATGAGGTGTTGCCCACATGATCTTAACCAACTTTGAATCATAATTTCTCTTCTAGTAGTATCTCTTAGCCATTGATTTTTGACACAGAATTTGGCTTTGGAATGAACAACGATACTAGCTAAAATCTCAAGATGAAGTGGAAGTTGATCACTCTTAGGAGCAATAATCGAGCTTTCCTTTGCCTGAGGAAAAAGATCACACCATGCATCCGATGTAAGGATTCTGTCCAGTTTAACTTCGACCCAATTTGAAGTACCCTTCGATCTCTCTCAATTGAATTGATAACCCTCGAAGTTAAAATCCTTTAAACCACAAAATTCGACAGCTTCTCGAAACCCATCAATGAGTCTTCTAGATTGAGGGTTGCCCCCTCGCTTTTCCCCATGATGGAGAATATCGTTGAAGTCGCCCAAGGGAGTGGATTATTGACAGCTAACTACTTCAGAAGCCTAAAAAATTCCAAGCGCATATGCTTCTCTGGACATCCATAGTAACCAGTGAACCTCGATTTCTCCTCGTCGGAGCTCAAATCACCATGTCAATGTGATTCACTAAATAAGTTTTAATTTCAACCTTAGTCCCTTCTTTCCATAATATAGCTAAACCACCCCGATGACCCACATTATCTACAGAGAACAGGCCCAAGTAACCCAATCTCTGTTGTCTCGTTGTGACGTCCCTAATCCAACACCAACCAACGACGGCCCAACATTGGCAGAGCACGCCGATTTGCGGCTCGAATCTAATCACCATATATTACGACGTCAGTTTTACCTATAACCGATGTTGTAATTTATTTAAATTAAAAAAAAAAAAGAAATTAAAATCCAATACGACTTCTGACTCTTTTGTTAGCCGACGTTGTATAGGATTTTAATTTCTTTTTTTTTTTAATTTAAATAAGTTACGACGTCGGTTGTTTGATACAATCGTATTTTGTAAAAAATAAAAAATTATAAAAATATTTTAACGTCAAGTTTATAAAAAATTGATATTAAAATGGAGAGGTTGTAATGTATTTCTGTAGTAGTGATATGATTTTCCCCCTATTAAACAGAATCTCTCAAACAACTTAGGGCAGAACTTTTCCATATAACCAATGATACCACAAATGAAGCAGAAATCTAGAAGGCACTCATAGCGGAACGAAATCCATGACCAATCTCTCCCACTACGCTTGATTCTCATCACACTCATCATAGGTTTTGTGATGTCCACCGTTACTCTAATCCTGAGAAAGGTCTTCCACCACCCATCAAAAATACTATCATCAATGCAAACGAAACTACCAATGAAATTCCCAATGGCTCTCGCCATTTTCTTCGAGAAAAAACCCAACGGAAGATCGTGAACTTGTATCCAAAAATTTGCCTTATCAAGAGGCATTCCCAAGGGCGATATATCTTGTTGCATCTTCACAAGAAGGAGTAGGCTCTGCTCATAGGCCCATGGCCCCATCATCGAGTATCCTCTGCATATCTATTTCTTGAAAAAAACTGGAACAAAAAGATATCATGGCCAAATTCCTTCACCGCCATACCTTTTCTAGGACACCACACCACACCATACCACACCACCAGCATCAGGTTGAGGTCCTCGTCAGTGATCTCAAGTGCCGTGTAGGCAGCTTCCACCTCCTTAGTGGACTCCGTGGAATGAATAAAAGTAGGTTCATGGGGGGTGGGACCTGACGTCGGAGATTTAACGCTTGAGGATTCACCGTGTTGGTAGGCCATGAAGCAAAGGACGAAATGGGAATCGAACAGAACTGAGGGAAGAAACGGCCAGGAGGAAAGAACAACAAACTTGTTGGAAAAAATAGCTTAAAATGACATAAAATGGCATATTAAGTGGCTATATTGTGGTACGATTATCAGTGGGGTTCACTTCCGATTTGGGTCGGGTCAAAGTGGATTCGGGTTCTTCGTAGTGAGACGAAGAGATTGATATATTGTACACTCAAAACGGATAATGGGTGAATGAGATATTGATTCTCAAAGTAGACCCATTGAGTTGGAAAAATGAATGAAAAAGTGAGCTTTGTCCCACATTGGTTTGGAAAGAGGATTTCACCCCCCTTTTATACAAGGGCTCTTTTGGAGCTTGTAGAATTGTATAGCATAGAGGCTCTCTCGCGCGGGGAGGGGGGGGGGGGGGGTGCAAATCAAATTCCAACTAGAAACGAGATCAAAAAGGTTTGATTCAAGCTCGAGCTTGTGTGCGCGGGTACGAATATCGGGCTAAGTTTTTTTCAAAAAAAAAAAAACGCGTCATTTAGTTAAAAAAAAAAAAATCGCGCGTGTTTTGCCGTTAACGGCGTTATTTTTTTTTTGGATTATGAATGTACAGTTATGCCGTTATGAATGTACAGTTATGCAATTATGAAATTATGAACACAGAGCTCTAACATTATGAACTTACAATTATGAACATATAGTGATAAAATTATGACCAATGGAGCTTTAAAATTGTGAATATAGAGCTTCGAAGATTATGAATGTACAATTATGGAGTTATGAATCTACAGTTATGGAGTTATGAATCTACAGTTATGAGATTATGAATCTACAGTTATGGAATTATGAATGTACAGTAATTGATCGAATTATGAACAAAGAGCTCTGACATTATGAACTTACAATTATGAACATATAGTGATAAAATTATGAACACAGAGCTCTAAAATTGTGAACATAGAGCTTCGAAAATTATGAATGTACAATTATGGAGTTATGAATGTACAGTTATGGAGTTATGAATGTACAGTTATGGAGTTATGAATGTACAGTTATAGAGTTATGAACGTACAGTTATGGAGTTATGAATGTACATTTATTAACATATAGTAATAAAGTTATGAACATATACTCCTATAACGAAGCGGTCTGAAATTTAAAAAAAAAAAAAAAAAAGGAGATAACAGTGCCTAACGGCACTGTTACCTGTGTCCAGCATGCATGCTGGACACGGGTCCATAGCATAACGATTGAACACAAGAGTTGCGCGCTATGGCTGAACAGCACTTCGGTCTCCGTTACAGGAATTAATCTCTTGTTCGCTCGTTTGGGTGCCCAAACGTCGAACCGTTGTACGTTTTATCCTGGGAAGCCACAACGCTCCTAGCACTTTTGGGAGGTGGCAAATTAGATTTTAAGCAAAGAAAGGCACCTCGCCTAACTCGTACTCTCTTCTTTCTTCATTCTCTTCCTTTTCTTGTTTTGGATTATGCTTTTAAGCAAAAATCTGTTCTCCCTCTTTTGATATATTCGTTGGATTGGACTTATAATATGAGGATTATTGGTTCCAATTTTTGGTCAATATATATTGGTATATTTTTTTCATATATATATATATATATATATATATATATATATATATATATATATATATATATATATATATATATTTCGGACAAATATCGAATAATATTTTATATACTTGTGTGTGTGTATATAAATATTATTTTGCAATATTAAATCGATTTTGGTTTATTATCACCAACACTTGTTACTTAGAACAAGGAAAGGGCTAGCCAAAAAATCTAGAAGGAAGATACCGACTTTTCTGCCATCAACTTGAAGTCTTAACTATGTTTAGTTTAAATTAGGGATGACAATGTGCCCCGTCCCCGATAGGGATCCCCGATCCCCGCCCCGAAAGAGACGGGGATGGGGAAGATTTTCGGGGAACGGGGACGGGGGCGGGGAACATTTGTGATTCCCCGCCGGGGATGGGGACGGGGACGGGGATACCCCTCCCCGCCCCGCCCCGTCCCCGAATATATATAACTATATATATATATATATATATATATATATATATATATATATATATATATATATATAGTTAATTACATAAGTGCAATACTGCCAGTAAATATAGTTAATTATATATATAAATAAATTATATATATAGTTAATATTTTAATTTTTACAGGCAGTACTATATAGTTAATATTTTAATTTACAATTAGAACTTATATTTTAAAATTATTATTATTAAAATTTAAAATTATTTAACATTTTGACTAAAAGTTGACAGGAGCGGGGAATCCCCGTCCCCGCCTAATTCTCCACGGGGACGGGGATGGGGAATATTTCCAATTCCCCGCCGGGGACGGGGACGGGGACGGGGATGGGGACGGGGTAGCGGGGACGGGGACGGGGAGTATACTCCCCGCCCCCGCCCCGCCCCGTTGTCATCCCTAGTTTATATAAAGTTTTAGCAATAGATATTACCAGGTGCCGGCTAAGAATGGTCGTATTCGGTGTTTGAATGATGTTCACTTAGCCGAGGCTCTTGAAGTTAAGGAAGCCCTTTTTTGGATTAAGGAGATGTGTTTTTTAAAGTTGGCTATCTTCTCGGACTATCAGACTGTTTGCAGGTTGCTCAATGGTACTTCATAGGATCGATCTCTCTTACGCAGGATGTATGTTGAGTGAGTGCCAACACTTTGAATCAGTGTCCTTTAATTATATCCCGAGATCAGTGAATGTTTTTGCTCATACGTTAACTAGAGTTATTGGTTCTCAGACTAATCCTCTTTGTTGGTTATCTTTTATTCCTCCATGTATCAAACTTTTATATTAATGAAATTTTCAGTATTTCCTCTCAAAAAAAAAAAAAAAATAAATAAAGTTTTAGCAATAGATATTACCAGGTATCCGCAGCACTTGACTCGGATTTCCACCGCCACGGAAATCTATCATGTACAAAAACTTATTATGGACTTTAAGAACAGCCAATTAATACCAAATTTTTTGCACAATGTTAATTACATAGAAAGTTTGTATATAAATTTATAAATATTTATGTAAAATCAATCAACTTTAAAATAGTCAACAAATTGTACAAAAATCATAAGTCAAACTTGAACACAAATTTCATTTTTCCTATATCTCCAAGCTTTAAAATTGTAATAGGATAGTCATGACAAGAGAAAAAGAGTATAGTAATTTTTTTTTATGTTTTTATTTTGTGTTTTGTACTTTTAAAAAAAAAAATTATTACTTACGTACATTACGATCTTTCCTCTCTTGTTCTTCCAATTATTTATGAGACTACGATAGACGAATGACAAGTTAGATTCAATGATTTGTTCAGGGTTATACTTTGATTTTAACCCTAGATTCACTCAGCTATAAATTTTCTTTTCCATATTTATTAATCAAGTGTTATTTCTTTAACTTAATTAAGAGAGGTGAATAATAAATTTCGTGCATTATTAAATTAAGATTGACAAAAAACGTATTTTATAAAACAAAAATTTAAATATGTTAACTAGTACAAATAGATTTAAATTTAAAACGTTTTTTTCTATCAATATAAATTTTAAAATTTTTAAATTTAAGTTTATTGTGATGTGTATGAAACTTTTTTGTTAAATATAAATAAAATTCATTAATTCTTTCTATCAATATAACTTTTAAAAATTTAAGTTTATTGTAATGTGTATGGGACTTTTTTGTTAAATATAAATAAAATTCATTAATCTTTTCTATCAGTATCACTTTTAAGAATTTTAAATGTTGTTACTGTAAAGTGTATGGAACTTTTATTTTTTGTTAAATAAAATAAAATTCCATACAACTCTCATCCTAAAATGGTTGCATACTTCATACTTGCATAGGCCATAGCAAGGTAAAGTGGAATGATAATATTTTTACAAGAGATTAAGAGTTTGAATCTACTTGAAGACATTAAATATTTTAGTTTTGTAAATTTTGATATTAATATATTAGTGATTAATTAAATTAATAAAATAAAAGAGTTAATACCCAAAATGATCCTCGACTGTAGTGGTTTTTTCAATTTCGTCCTAAACGACTTTGATGACGTAATGTAGTCTCAGACTTTTGTGTTTTTTCTTAATGTAGTCATCCGATCCGTTTGTTATTTCGTCAAATTAGTGTTAAATAATAGATGGACAATTCAGTAATATCAATATTGGTCTCTCTATTAATTTATTTATAATGATTAAATAAATCACTCCTCTTTTATGAATTGTCCCAGTAATTTCGATAGAACTCTTTACAGATTACGAATTGTCCCAATAATTTCAATATTTACTGATTACTAGGACAATTCGTAAAAGATGGGTGATTATTTAATCATTATAATTATAAATTATAAATATATTAAAAGAGAAACCAATATTAAAATTATTAAATTGTCCCTCTATTTAATACCAAATTGACTGAATAACAAACGAAAGACTACATTAAACAAAAACACAAAAGTCTGTAACTATATTAGATCACCAAAATCGTTTAGAATAAAATTGAAAAAAACCACTATAGTTAATGACCACTTTAAGTATTAACTCTAAAATAAAATCTGACTTAGATGATAATGCACCATATCATGTTGACATGGTAGTGATGACGTTAATGTCAAGTGATCAGTTTACGGTTAATTTTAACTATGTTAATGATATTATAGATAGTCCTAATAACTTATGCTAATTTTAGAAGTACATGGAATAAATTGCAAAAAACTATATAGTATACGGAATTCTTAAGAACTTTGACCGGCGGATTAAAGCGCTCCCCATATGCGTTCACATATTATAGAAAGAAGAAAAAAAAGAAAACATTTTTACACATAAACAAGTTTTATCCTATGCACACTTTCAAATAATGACTATGGATTTCTTTCATTATCAAAAATCTTTTTTTTTTTTTAAAATTGAAGATGCATTTTTTTTTTTTAAGGACAATAACAGATTTAGAACATTTTACGTCATATATGCGTTATACACAAATTTTTGTATAAGATTGCTTTACATAAGACGTGTAATACATTTTAATAAAAATATAATACTTTTCCATTGATTCATAGAAATTATTATATTTTTGTTATAAAAAAATTATACATTTCACGTGAGATGGTGTCATATAAAGTAAAAAAAAGTATAAATAAATATAATATAGAGTATTAATGTTAGATACTCTTAATTTTTCCAATCAATTCATCCCTTATGATATGATATTATCTAATTAGTTACTAAATATTCTTTTTAATTAGTGGTGGATTAACCTATTCGTAGATGCCTACTGAATGAGGCAAATTATTGTGTGGACCATGGTCCACACAGTGTTATGTGTGGACCATAACAAAAAGTATATTTTTAATATACTAAATATACGTTATTTTTATACTCAATGTATATTATACAATATAATGTATACTCAGTACAAAAATAATGTACATCCTCTGAATATAATGTACATTATTTTTGTGTTGAATATACATTATTTTTGTACTAAATATACATTATTTTATAATATACAAGTTATGGTCCACACAAATGAAACCACATAAGAAGTGTAAATATTAGTAGAAAAAATCAAGAGTTACTCGTATTTTAGTTGCGAATTTACCACTTAAGCATGGAGTCCTGAGAGTCCTGAGAGCATTCAGCACAGCCCAAATCAATCTTCCCACTGGTGATATTGTGCCGTCATAAATAGCTGTATCATATAGGAAAACTCATTTTTATTAGAATTACATTATGATTGATCATTATATTTAAATTCTGCATGATGAATATTAGGCTGCTCTTAATGGGGACTTATTATTGGTGTGATTTTCTTCCATAGTATATGGAAAATAACTAACTAAAAAGGTGATGAGAAAAGTGTAAAGAAAACAAACTAAGATTATTCTCAGAATTATTGCAAATAATTACATAGGATAAGAAAGACCTATTATATTTTTATTTATATTAAAAGTAACTGAAAATATGAATAAGGGTAATGGGTAAAGGTAAATTGAAAGAAAATATTAAAAGTAGATTAAATATTGTATGAGACGGTCTCCCCTAAAATGTGTAATACTTTTTAATTAAAATGTGATACTTTTCTATACATTCATTGAATTTATTACATTTTAATTAAAAATTATTACAAGTCTTACGATGAAACAGTCCCACACAAAACTTATTATTTTTTTTATAAAACAAAATACAGGCAACTATTTTAATGTATTATATTAACATTTTTTTTTTCCCATCATCATTTAACAAAATTGACATTTATATAATTTCTTAGATTAGATGGTAGTTGCCAGTTTAATATTTCGTACGCATAATACGACTAAGGTGCGTTTGATCCAAATATTAGAATAGAAATAAATCAAATAATAATTAGAATCAAATATTTAGTAATACTAATAGGTTTAAGTATGAGAAGTCTCGTTTGATAATAAATAGAAATTAGATTTAAATAAATAAATAAATAAATAATTAATTAATTAGATTATTAATTAAAATAAATAAATATATAAAAATATATATAACATATATATACACAATATATGTATGTGTATATATACATATTTCCATATTAAAGTTTCATATTTAATGCATTGACAATGACTTGTTTTTCTTTAATTCATTTTTATTTCATTGTTTAAAAGTATATAGGAAATGAAAAGCTAGAGTAGTGTGATTTATAATTACTAATAAAAGATTGAGTCACATTTGTGTGAGACTGTCTTACAGATCCTTATTCCTGATACGCGTTGGGCGGGTCGGATCAACATGCGAATGTCATACTTATATGCGTAAAAGTCATATTTATGTGTTCAAATTTAATATTAATTAGGAATAAAGTGTTTGTTATTCATAAGGAAAATTGTAAATTTTTTTATGAAAAATGTAACATTTTGCATTTTAATGTAAAATTATTATATTTTCCTTAAAAAGTATTACATTTACTCATATAAGTAATAAATACTTTATTCCTAATTAGTATCTTTAATTGCTTCTCGCATTTGCTTTTTGCACGATTTTTAATGCAACAAAACAAATGTTACTAACTTTTCAATTTCCCTCCTCAAAAGTATATGTCAATTGTACTTTGTACAATTGTACTTATTCAATAATGGTCTAGAAATTTGAAAAATTAAAAAGTAAATTAGGAAATGTAGAATGATAATTATGTTCAATTCTGGAAAGATGATCGACTCTATTTTGGGACAAATTAAAAAGGAAGGCAAAAACTTGTGTGACACCGTCTCACGGGTCTCAATCTGTTAGACGGGTCCGACCCATTAATCCAAGAGTCGCCCGTCTCACGGATTGAGACCCGTCACACAAGTGTTACCCAAAAAAAAAAGAGTAAGACATGTAAAATAGGACGGAGGAAGTATTACATTTTCATCTTGACCCAATCCATTTCATGATGAGACGATTTCACACAATTTTTTGACAAAATATTGAATCAAATAATAAAATTTAGTACTACCTCCGTCCCATTTTATGTGTCTGGTTCGGTTAACGATGCTTGACTGAAGTTATTTTTAATCAAATTTTTCATAATTTTAAGTTTAGTATTAGTATACAAAATTTATATATTTAGAAACTACACTAAAAAGTACAATTAAACACAAAAAATTAAATTTAAAAATAAATAAAAAATAAACAAAAAAAAATAATTAGTTTGATCAATTAATAGTAAATATGACAGATAAAATGGGACAGAGAGACAGGGAGTATCAAATTAAATCTCATAATAAGAAATCTACAACCTATAACACAACCTAAATCTGACCTGTTTTATCCATGTCAGTATAATCATAATTTAGTCGGGATCTTTCCGCTTTTGATAGTGGACCATCAGATATACCTGGACATCGTGTACGGAATTTAATTTTTGTTTAAAATTCTATAATGGGGATTATTTTTCAGATAATTTTTTTTTTGAAAAAAAAAAGAAAGATAATATTTTAGATGTATACAAATAGATTGTATATAAATAATATGTGCATATTTATGTACAAAATAAATACTTAATAGCATCATTTTATATTTTTAAAAGGAAAAATTGCATTTTTCATCCTTATAAGATAATAGTAAAATTTTATCTTTAATTGTTGGGTGCATTCACTTTTCGTCTCTAAGCTATCATTGGTGTTATACTTTTCATCATTTTACTGACAAAAAGTTAGGGACGAAATTTACAACATTAGTACAGCTTAGGGACGAAAAGGGAGTAGAAAAAATTAATAAAATGACAAAAATTGCAATGACAATGATAACTTAGAAATGAAAATTAAGCATGATCAACAATTATAGACAAAGTTTACAATTACCTTATAACTTATGGACGAAAAATACAATTTAAGTAGCCTATAAAAGAAGATAGACTAAATTAAAGAAAATATTTTCCTCACTTGAAAAAAAATAAATATACCAATCAAAGCATAGAAATTTTAATTTCTTGAAAGAAAAAAAAAATTAGAGCGAACCAAATACCCTTTAGTTTAGTACTGAGCAATTAGCACGTATGACGTACCTGATAATATTGCTCCGTGAAGGGCATTTCGCCGCCATGGTCCACTATAAGTAGGCTTTTTACATGTGTTGAGCATTTCTTTCAAACAATCGTTAAATTGCGACTCTGCTGCTATATAAATAGGCGTTTCCTCAGCATCATTGGCAAGATACACAAATTTAGGGTCCTCTTCAACTAATAATTTCACCACCTTTAAATACCCCATTCGCACGGCCTTGTGCAAAGCCGTGTCTTTCACACTATCCCTCATCTCTATCATCTCCCTCACTCGACCACCTTTAGATTCGACATCTTCACGCTTCTTAATGGCGTTGAACATCACAGAGACTACGCCGTCATAGCCCTTCTCTGCTGCACAGTGTAGCGCACTTTCATATCTGTTGTTCCTGACAAACAACAGGGACCACGATGACATGGCTGCATCATCAACATCCTGTACTTCTTCTTCTAGGATCTGTTCCACCAAATCTATGTGACCATGGATCGCCGCAACGTGCAGTACAGTATTGCCCTTGGGCGTAACTTGAAATCGGATAACTTCTTCCGGCATCTGCCGTAAGGCCTCATGGTAATCTTCAACATTACCTTTCACCACTGCGTTGTATAGAACCGGGTTCATATGATGAATGACCATAACCGGATGCATAATGAAATATTTCTTCTCCCAGTACTGTTGCTTGCTAGCTAGTTCTGTATCAAAGAATGGGAATAAATTGGTACTTTGGAACAGCCAGCGCCAGCCACTGCTTTCAATCTTATCCATTTTATTCTCATTTAGTGCGTTGACCCCACAATTACAAAGAAAGTTGCTCACCATGAATTTAGGATATATTTAAAAACTAGTAAAATGAATTATGAAAAATAAGATTTTTTTTTTGAATTGTTTTTAAGTGTTTAGTTGCATTTCAAAAACTATTCTGGTGTATTTGGTTCAATTATATATATAAAAAAATGAGTAGAATTATATTAAAAAAAAATTAGTGTTATTACAATGTTTTCATAAAAAAAAAAATTGATTTCTGTCAGAAATGGAAATCAGTTTTACTGGTTTCCAACCGAAACAAGAAATATCTGGTCTCCCTTTGAAACCAGAAAAATTGGTTTCTGTTAATCTAGTTCTCGACAAAAATCAGTGTAGATTTTCATTTGGAAACCGTCACAGGAGGAGATGGATAAGGTTGCGCAAGTTAAACTCTGAAAAATGCATCCTCCAAAAAAAATGAGTAGTCATTTTGCAAAAAAAAAAAAAAAATGATCTGTATTTTTCCTTTGACTGGAATCAATTTTCATTGATTCTAATTTTTGTCATTTACCAAACACTGAAAACCCAAAAAATGATTCCGAGAAATCATTTTTCGGGTTTCCAAAGATACTCTTAATCAAATTGAGTGGAGTAACACAATAATATAATGCAAAAAAAAAAAAGCTATAATAATAATAATAATAATAATAATAATAATAATAATAATAATAATAATAACAATTAATTTATAAATTTAAATTATTTTAAATTTATATTTAAAACTTTAAAATAATTTAAGTTATAAATCAATATTATACTATACTGATGCCTTTTTAGGTTATTTTATATGAAAAACTAATAATTATAAAATTTTCACAAATCAAACATTCTATAGAACGAAGGTGAAAGTGCTCCGTAAAATCCATTTTCTTTGATCGTGTTTCCGATCATTCTTTCGGTAGTGGACATCTCCTTCGATCGTGATCGAAGGGAGTAATCTCCCAAGGCTCTCTAGGGCTTCTTAATTCTGTGTTTGTCGATGGCGATTCTATTCTTGTTTGTTATCTACTGTGCCCTGGTGTGGAATCCATCGCATCTCCGCATGGACGTTCACCAATTAGAGAAGCGATGTGCCGATCTGGCTCTAATCGAGGAGGATGGTGGTGGTCTGGAGGCCCCCGAAACGCGATCGGTCCCTGATGAGACAATCCATCACAATCTGGTTGGCCGACTGCTCACTGACCGTCAGATCCGATTTGAGCATATGCAACATACTCTGGCTACGGTGTGGAGGCCGGTAATGGGCATGTACGCAGTGGCGCTAGCAGAGGACCTCTTCTTCTTCCAATTCCCTCATCCGAAGGATCTTCAGTGAGTTATGGATGATGGGCCTTGGTCATTCGAAAACCACCTGTTGATCTGTGCGCAGGTACCGCCGGGCGATTGACCGGAGGACGTGGTGCTTGAGTCGGTCCCTTTCTGGGTCCAAATCCATGGACTGCCTGCGATGTATGCCTCCCCGGAATTCATCAACAAAATTGGGGATTACATCGGGTCGTTCATAATGGCTGATCCACTCAATTTCGGCGGGGTTGGAAAAGCTTCTATAGGATCCGAGTGCGGATGTGTGTGTCATCGCCGATCAAGAGACATATGAAATTGATAAGACGTGATGGCACGATGCAGTGGATTAATTTTAAATACGAGCGCCTGAGTACGTTTTGCTACTGCTGTGGTCTATTGGGACACTCTGAAAAGTTTTGTAAGACTGCTTATGAGAAGGGTATTCTTCCCGAGGACTTCCCATACGGGGCTTGGTTGCGCGCAAGTCCCAGACGACAGGTGAAACCGATGGGGGCGAAATGGCTATTGTCTCCGTCGAACCCGGCAGGAATGACGGCCACCTCTTCGGATGAACCTGCCCCGGCAGCATTAGTGTTAATGGCAGAAACAGAGGGTGTACATGGGGATCTGAAACGGCGCCGAGAAGACACTGGGAATCAAATGGTACAACTGGGGATGATGTGTTGATGGCTGATAGCTTGAAAGTTAAGGAATTGGCGAGTCTGGCAGACCAAGCTCGCCGAGCCAAATGAGTCTCCTTAGCTGGAACTGCCGGGGTTTGGGGGGTACCCGGTCAGTTCAAGAACTCTTGGGCATTGTGTCCAAGGAACGGCCCCAATTCGTCTTCTTAATGGAGACAAAGGCGACTGAATTTCGAATGGAGCAGGTGCGTGTACAGTTAGGTTTTAAAGGTAAAATTTGTGTGGAAAGAGTAGGCCTCGGAGGGGGCTTGGCGTTTTTCTGGAGAGATGAATGTGGCGTCTCTGATTAGTTACTCCAATAATCACATAGATATGGAGATATCTATTCCAGGGCGCCCGATATGGAGATTGACAGGGTTCTACGGGGAATCAGATAGGAGTAGGAGGCAGGTTACGTGGGACCTCTTACGGCAACTTAAGGGAAATTCTTCTCTCCCTTGGATTGTCGTGGGAGACTTCAACGATATCGCTTGTTTTTCGGAAAAGAGAGGTGCCCATGGCCATCCATCGGCGCTTATCGAAGGTTTCAATGATGTGTTGGGGGAATGCGGTCTGGCTGATATGGGGATGACGGGGGTTCGTTTCACGTGGGTGAAAGGCCGTGGAACGGATTCGTGGGTGGAAGAAAGGTTGAACAGAGCAGCAGCAACGGTAGAGTGGTTAGAGATGCATGATGGGGCGGAGGTTAAAAATATATATACAAATTCATCCGATCATTGTGCTATTCTAGTTGACCTCCATACAGAGCCCGTACGGACAGTTTTGCGAAAGTTCAGGTTCGAACCGGCGTGGCTCCTACAGCCCGGCTATGCGAAAGTGGTGAATGATGCATGTCGTTTATTGAGTGGCATGAATTTCCAAGACCGTCTAGCTATTTGTGGAGACCGCTATCAAAATGGGGTGGGGATTATCATCGACAGTTTGGTGTTCGTAGCAGACAGCTTCGGCACACACTGGCCAAGCTGAAAGAGAACCGTACGCCTCAAGCGGTGACCACTTTTTTAGCAGCGGAGAGGGAGTTGGAGGCGTTGTTGAAAGCGGAGGAGATTTTTTGGAAACAGCGTTCAAAGTAGCTTTGGTTAAAGCATGGAGATGCCAACACGAAATATTTCCACAAATCGGCTACGGCTCGCCGAAAATGCAATTTATTAAACCGCGTTAAGGACCAGAATGGCGTTTGGGCTGAAGGCACGGCTATGCACTCAGAGATAATCAGGTATTTTGAACATATTTTCTGTTCTGGTCCACGAAATGCTAATCTGTTTGACCGGGTCCGGGAACGCTGACAGACGAGATGAAAGTCTCCCTGTCACAACCGTTTACAATGGCAGATGTTAAGTCTGCCTTGTTTGATATGAAACCGGAAAAGGCGCCAGGGCCGGACGGTATGTCACCGGCCTTCTTCCAGCATTTTTGGCCGGTCCTTGGGCATGACTTGTCCGTGTTCGTGTTACATTGTGTGGAACACGAGCACTTTCCACCGGAATGAATGCTTATAATATTGTTTTAATTCCTAAAAAGCCTGTGCCGGAGAAAGTGTCGGACCTACGGCCAATTGCGTTGTGCAATGTGGTTTATAAGGTGTTAGCCAAAATGCTTGCCAATAGACTGAAGGGGTGTCTAGCGCAGGTTGTTTCCCAATCACAGAGTGCGTTTGTTCCTGAACGTTTACTCACGGATAATATCATTGTGGCCGGGGAGATAGGTCACTATCTACGGAGGAAAACCGGGGGGACACAAGGGTGGGCAGCGCTAAAGCTAGATATGGCTAAGGCGTACGATAGAATGGAATGGCCCTTTTTGGAGGGCATGTTGCGGGCGTTGGGGTTGGAACGTCAGTGGGTGGAGATAATTATGTTATGTGCCACTTCTGTGAAGTACTCAATTATGGTAAACGGGGAGGTCGTGGGTTGTGTACGCCCTACCAGGGGTATACGACAAGGAGACCCGTTATCTCCTTACCTTTTCATTATCTGTGCAGAAGGTTTATCTATCCTTCTGCAACAGGCTGAAGCCCGGGGTGACATACATGGTGTGAGGGTGGCGCGGGGAACCCCGGCCATCACTCACCTCTTTTTTGCTGACGATAGTTTACTTTTTTTTCAAGGCTAATGAACGAGAGGCACTAAAAGTCATTACTTTAGGTAAATAAATTTACTTAATAAAAGTCATTACTTGTTGGTCCCATTTAAACTGAGTAAAAAATCTAGAGAGAGAGGAGGGAAGAGGGAGGAGGGACAGGAAGAGGGGGGATTATTGAATAGAGTTTTAAAAACTTCTCAAAGAAATTAAACAATTAGAATTTGTACCTAACTAATTAAGTTAATTAAGTTTTCAACACATCCAAAAGGCAATATTGACTTCTTAACTTGATAGTTAAGATTAAAAGATTGTGTAGCAGAAAATATGTTTTTCAAAGGAATTTTGTTAAAATTAATAAATATGAGAGAGTATATACATTATATAATAAAATATTAAAAATGTAAATGCCACAAGATATTTTATAGTGATACAAATGTTAATGTCTAGAAAGAATTACTATAATCGCTTTAAGTACAATTACAATGAAAGAGCAAGTGTTTTGATCATAAAGTCATCACTGATCAACATATTTTCTCAGACAAATACTATTACTCTTCCTCGATACAAAAGTTCAACACAAAGGTTGAATTTTCAACTAAAAGACTTGAAATGATCTGAGTAAATCTTGATGCTCTTGAAGTCTCTTTGAACTTGATAAATGGCAATTGAGCTTTTGAATTCTTGAACTTGCTTATACGAAGTGTCTTTAATGTCCCTTCTCCTTAGCATATAGATTGTCGAAAGTTATTATTATTATGTAATAAAAAGCCAAATCAAGATAATTGGTACAAATAGCCCAAAATACATTGAACAAATAATATAATCACATACAAGCCCATCATTAGTGATGACAGACGTTATGGAACCGTGTTCACCATTCATGGTGAACACGGTTCCAACGGTGTTAGTACACCGTTATCTTTTTTTTTTTTTTTTTTTTTTTTTTTTTTTTTTTTTTTTTAATT